ACTGTAGATCTCAGAAGGAATTTTGACGTTTCTTTGTCTGCACTCCTGAACATATCCTTGCTCTTACCTTCACCCAAGCTGTGAATAGGGATCTAGGGGCTGAGATAGTCTGAAAGAACCACCAAGCAGCTCATCTGAATCTTGTGAAAGGGAGGCATATGTTCTGAAATACTGAACAAGGTCATTATGCTTTTCTGAAGACAATTTTAGTGCAGATGTTTCTTCGGAGCAGCCATTAATGTCCTGTATCTTTGAGATGGTTTGCTTCGTGTTAGCCCTTGTCTAAAACAAGGTGGTTTTAGATGTTTAAGCATAAGAGTGTCTTTTAAGAAATGGGTGGTTAAAGTTCTGCATGTATAAGCAGGACAGTTTGTTTGCAGTCACCCAAAAATATTACTTATATTTGAGTTGAAATATCAAAGCTTTTTCTAAATTATGCAGTCCTGTAGTTTCTTCTTAAATGTAAGTATTTTCTGTATTACTGTTAATGCCTCTTGGAATTTTCTCTTAATTAAGTTTTTAAAATTGAGATGTTATGCTCTCATTTATACAGCCCCTGTTCCATTTGCTTACTTTCAGAATCCTTAGCTAATTGTATGTTGCTTTGACAACAGAGACAGAGACAGTAGCTGTAAATATATTTTATGCAGTTTCTTCATTGTCGAGGTACATGTTTTATGGGAAAAATGCTGTTCACCGATTGGGGAAAATGAGTGCTAGCTGGGAGCGTGCATTAGTAACACAGAGGAATATGTAGTGGATACCCAATTAGGATTTGTTAAGCTTTTAAACAGGACTGGAAAAGTCTGAAATGTAATTAGCTTCTCTTCAGCATCAAAGAGTCAGGTTTTTAGGTTGTGTATGTCAGTTAAGTCCTTTTGGGCAGTGGTCTTGTAAGAGGGTGGCCTGTTCAGACAAAGTGGTAGGCTTTGTCTGAACCTGCTGTTTTTTTTACAGTCTTTACTTCAGAAAAAACAGGGTTAAATGAAACAGCCTTGTACATATTAACCTGGCTTTGTCATTGTTAATCTTACTTCTGTAAATTAAAACTATGCAAATAATCACCTCATTAATCCCCAGGAGTTTAGATGTCTTTACCTTCTTACTTACCTTCAGGAATTCAATGTAAGTTGGAAGGTTAGAAGTAATTTAGGACTAGTCTTTTAGACCGCGGCTCACCTTTTGAGAAAAACTGTCTTCTCACTGGAGCTTGGATTATGGGACTGGGGGTGGTGACACTAAGGGAGTACATTAGCCTATTATCTTCCTCACTGAATCATTCTGCAATCACAGTGCCAAGAGTTTATCCCGAGATGTATTTAATGGAAGAAAATGTGGTACATGCATAATCTAAGCATCTCGTTTGTAATTTTTCTCCGATCTTCATGCAAATCTGGTGGCTTTTGAAGAATTTTCAATTCCTTAATTTTTCACGCCACTAATATTTAGTGATACTTTAATTAATGTGTTTTATGATGTTAGGCAACATTTTTTTTTACCATTTCTGTTCCTCATATACCAGGTGAAGAAGGCAGAAGATCATTTTTTCTTTTTGGCTCATTGGTGCAACTCGTACAAAAGGATTTAATAGCTAATAGCTTTGTTGTAACCTTAGTTTTATGGTTAAATTGGCCTTCTGCTAAAAAGCCTTCCAGTGATTCCACCTTTCCATTGCCTTTGTGTCTAAGCAGAATTTTTGGAACTGATACTAAGAACGGCGTTCTTCACTTGACCTCGCCACTGTTTTCAAAACACTTTACTTTTAAAGAAAAACTTTCTGAGTGACCGTTGTCCTTGTCAGCTTGTTAAAAGTATCTTTCAAAGGCTATTGTTCTTTCCAGTGTCCGCAAAAATGCTGTGAGAAGTGGCACAGAAAAGTATCCATCTCTTACGAAAAGATTGTGCAGAAATTGAATGGTATCTATATGGCACAACATATCTTATAGTCTAGCATTAACAATTAAAAAAAAAACAACTCCCAGAACATTTACAGTAATTACATTGAAGGTGAAGGTTGTTATCCTTTTGAATGCATCGCACTGTAGAGTCAAACTCAACTCAGAAGACTTGATATTGCTTTTTGCCTTCCATTGGATTAATGCAGGATATTCCGTTAACTGGTATAAACATGCGTTGCATGTTATTCCAGTAGTCAAAAAGCATCCTGGACAGATGCACTTGTTTGTTCTTGTCAAGAAATTGGCACTGAACGCATCATAAAGCATAGGATAACTGCAGAGTGAGTGTTTTACTAGAAAGTTTAGTTAAAACACTATATGACAGGATAAGAACAAACAAAATAGAAGAATCGGGCATGATTGAAGATAGAAGATAGAAGAGTAAAATGATAGAAGAGTAACATTGACTACTTATCTACCTTGAATTAAATTGTTATATAAGAATTATGAGATAATTTTAAATCATTTACTTTGTGACGGCTGCTGAATATCCCTCTTGCAAAATTTGAATGATCATTTAAGCCTACTGGATGTTCCATTTTGACTTGAGCAGATCAAATGCACAGTACAGAATTCTTCTGAAGTATAGATTCTTTCCGCAGTCTCAGGACAGAATTATCAGTTTCCCCTAAGGAATATACTGATGCACCATAAGGCTCTGTAATAAAACTTTTCTTTCTGCTTTTTTGACATTTTTTCTTGTGTATGCTTAAGTTTCCCTTTCATTGCTCTTTTAATGTATACCCCAAAAGCACTATATCTACATTGCATAAGGTTTAAAAATCTTGTTCTAGGACTGTTGATCTTCACAAAAGCTAAAACAAACCTATAAAGCACTAATGAGGTTGCCTGTAGCTGTTTTGTAAGCAAATGATGAAAGAAACCTTACTAAAGCAGGATCTGTAGTTCTACCTTTTCTATATTTAATGGGAAAAACTGAAATGCTTCCAGCATTTCGGAGGTGAGTTACCCTTGCTTGTAGCCTTAGGAATGTCACAAGATTTGGATGCATGCAATTACTTGTCATCTTTGAAGTTCACAGCAATAAAAAAAAGGAAAATTCTGAATGCACCTGAAGAACACTGCATAGAAAACAAAAGAAAAGGCTGAGAAGTTGTGGTGTTACATTTTCCAGTTAATAAAATTAAACTTTGATTTTGTGAAATCAAATTAAACCAACAGATTTTCAAATAACTTATTCTTTTTACTTTTGAATGAATTGTGTGTGGTTTATTGAATTGAACATTCTTTGTAAATTATTTTTTGTGGCTTTTGTAAATTAATTGTGAAACTTGTTGTTTGGGTACTTTAGAGGTTAAAATGCTTCAATATTAGTTTTTACTACAAGGGGCCTTCACAGACTATTATTTGTTTTCTCCACATTATTGAAAGCTTGCTGTGTAATAAAATTTGAATTTTCAAACATGAGCAATCTTGTACCACTTTCTGCACAAGCAAGGATTCACTGCTAATTAAATTTGTGAGCACAAGAAATCCAGATGTTTGGGAAAGATTCCCCTCGTTATTCCACAATGATGTGATGGCTGAAGGAGGTTGATTACAGCAGGTAATCAAATAAGATACCATATCTGGAGAGCACATTGATGAGAGTTGTCCAGGAGTAGTTTCTGCTTTGGGAAACATGATAATGTCTGGTCAAGGCTGTGGACGTTTGGCATTTCTGTTGGAGGTATCAAGGGCTGATTCTGAACCATGTACCTGTGACACAGGAGGTCGATGAGAAGAGGAAATGTCTGGCTAAAACAACTGGGCTAGGAGTCAATGAAGCAACACAGCCTGTGATCAGGTCAGTTGCTGTGCAGTCTGTATGCACTGAGCAATATTAAAAAAAAAAAAAAAACACGAGTATGGGTGCCAATACCTTGTTACATTTTATAATGCCTCTCGGAAGATGGTAAAGCAGTCACTTCAAACTTGGTGATGTCCAGTGTACTGATATACTAAGTCTCAGTAATGCACATGTTTCCTACCATTGTGTTCACCTGCAAATATTTTCTGATGATGGTACCTGGTAATGTTTTAGTCTATTTTGAAATAATGCTACTTTGGTGCAAAATAGAGGACTTGATATAGGATATATCAATTACTGGTGGAGCTACAGGGAACCCCCCCAGTAAAGTCATTTGTTCAAAGTGTGGGCTGAGCTGTGTAATCCAGCCAATATCGATGATTGAGCTTTGAGTTTGTTGTGCCTCCAGTCTGACCAGAATTCTCTGTACTGGGGTGCACCACTGGCCAGGTCTCACTGGGGTTGTCTGGGGTGGGTATCCCAGTGACAACTCTGTTGTCTTTAAGACATGCGTCACATCACTTCTGTAAATACTAACTCCCTGGACCTTTTTGATGAAAGGTGATACATGTTGGCTGATATCAAACAGAGCAGCATAAACGGGGAAAAAAAATGTTTGCTGTCCAACTCCAGAATTAAAATAGCCTTTTTGCATTTTTTTGTATCAACTTCTACTTCAAAGCTTCACAATGGTAAGAGTTTTTAATGAAACATTACCTGTTCAATAAATCAATACCAATGGTAAAAAACTCATTGGTTGTCAATCTGTAAACAGAATGGGCTGTTGGGTTAAATCTATCATCTGTGATATACAATACATTGTAATATTAAACCAAAAGATCTTACTATACACAAATAAAAACCAAACTTCTATGCCTGTATGCCTTAGGCCCTAGATGAAATGATAGTCAAAGACTGGAATTTGCTTGCAGAGCCATGTTAGATGGTAGCATGCTTACATCAATTTAGTAGTATCATTGACCAGTATCATTGCCGATGAACAATAACATGACAAGCAATAAGTTTTGTTAAAAGAAGAACACTCCTCTTGTCTGTTCTACAAAGCAAGTTTATGAAATGTACAACCCCTTTATTTGCAAGTGGACAACATTACAAAGAGAAGGTACCATAAAGATCCTGAATCCCTGCTTAATTTTATAATTTATATTTTTTCTTCCAATTTATTTTCATCATCAAGTCTTCTGAATGCATGTCTGCATATGTATTTCCAGAACCTGTGGAAGGTGCCCCCAAGAGCTTATTTGCCAAAGTGTTAGACACAGCCCGTCGTTATCTGGGAGACACGGGCAAAGAGGACGACAGCAGGGAGATGAAGAATCTCCCCATTCACAGAAGTCCAATTGTTCCCTCTCGCTCAAAGCCCTGCTCATTCTCCTCTCTCAGGCGAGGACAGGTAAGTCCTGCATCTGATTGGTGGGATTGCTCAAGGCTGCACAGAAACTTTTTTTTTTGTTACCTACGGTCTTCTGAATAGAAATGTAGACATAACCTAATTCTATCCAGTACCCTCCCTTACCTTCTGAGCTCTGAATGAAAAACACATCAGCAAAACAAAAGCAGAAATATGGGATTTCTGTCTGTATTGTTATATCCTCTGAAGAATGCCTTGATTTAGTACTGTAGGTACTTAAGAAACAAAAGGTTTCATTTTTCAGTGGAAGGGGCCTCTCACGAAGTATTTTTTGTTTGTTTGAAAATATTTTTGTACTGGTAACTATCCATCAGATTTATTTGCCACTGAAGACTAGATTTTTTTTACCAATGTCATTTTGTGCGTTACAATGAAGCAGTAAAATTAAGAGTTGTATTTCTGTTTTTTTATAAAACCATCTCTGCCTGTTGTTGTCGTCACTGGGTGTAATTATGGCACTGAATTAGATTCATGATTCAGTGTCTCAACACCTTCTTCTCTTTTTTTTGTGTACGTCTTGCATAACGCCATACTGTAGTCCTAAAAATAAGATTAAACAATATTCAGTAAGTCTTCAATGGCTTTGAAATTGAATTTAGCTTATGCATTAGACATTCAAGTGAGTTTTAGTTTTTTTTGTAATCCTGTTTTAATTTTGTTTAAAATATCAAATGGGTAGTGAATGATTTTGACAGATTTCAAGAATGTGGTTTTCTGAGCTGCAGAAACAGCTGGATGAAGTCAAAATGGTTAATTCTGAGAAAATGCCAGCAAACCTTGCATCATTGCACCAGACAGAAATGGTAACCACAGGCTTTAAAGGCTATTATGTAAATGTAGGCTGAGGAGCTGCTGTTTGACTTTTGTTTTTCACGGATGTCTGGTTTTGATTCTGCCTGGGCCACAGTGCCACTCAGTTTTGAAATCAGCACAAAACGACTTGAAAGAAGCTTTTGGCAGTTACTTCTAAAATTTCATAGCAAAAAGCTATTTTTCACATAGCTGTTCAGGGTTGGAAGATATACAGGCTTTAGCAGGGTGTTAGAATGGAGGCTTTCTGTTAGTTGCAGGGCCAGTTTTTGAAAAACTGCACATTCTTCAGGAAGACTTCAAATTTCAAGGCTTACAGCTTACCCCCTGTGTTTTAGTAAACATTATTTTAAATGTGTATGAAAATAGAAGAAATTGTTAAGTTTATCTGCAATTGTGCTTTACTCATAAAACACAAGTAACTGTTATCATGTCATTGTCATTCTCCTGAGTTCCAGGACTATTCCTATGGCAGTGTGGTGTAGCAATGCCCCTTACTCACATACCTACAATACTCGGTGGTTTGTGAAACTAACTTTAGATGATAGAAATACACATATATTGTTTTTTCTTTTAATTCTGTTCTTGTTCTATTGGTCCTGGTGCCTGGGTTCTAGTATCTGAAATGCCTCTATTTTTGTCTGTGCATAAATAGTTGTTTCTGCAAGTCTTATGTAAGCTCATACTTAAACATAGTATCAGTAGGATTTTTTTAAATAATGCATTCTTTTAAAACTTTTTTAAAACTCTTATGAGGCTGAGTATAAATGTGAAAAAATCAACATTTTTTCTATATGAGCCTTTTGCTTAATCAATTTTGGCATATACACACACTTGTTTTCCTGTATGCATGGGACATCCTGTTTATTTTCATTATACTTTTATTTAATATTCCAATCTCCACTCAAAGAAACTCCAAATACATACGTGAAAATAGACGTGACACACAAACTCTTGGCACTTTTAGATTTAAAAGAAGATGCCATTTGGTTTATAAAAAAGAATTTGAATTGTAGAGATGTTCCCACGTTGTCTGTTTGTCAGAGGTTATCATCTTCAGGACATTTTCCTGGATTTTGTCCCTGTGTTAACTGCAAAACATGCCCACACACACTGTATCCACAGTGCAGTTCCCACTTGAAATCTTTCCAAGTCGACATACCTATTTCCTGCCAGAAAGGATGAATTCATTTCAGGCACATTAGCCTGACAATCAAAACAGTGCTGTAAAGGCAAAGTACGGAATTGCTTAAAATAAGATTACATCTCTGTAATCTTCACTGTCTTGTACAAAAAGCTACTAATGAAAAGAGTTTGATTCCAAGTGGTTTGTGTTACTTTAATGAAGAATAGAATCCTTTTTATTCTCAGAACCAGCAGAATCTTGGCAGAAACCATGGGGAGCAAAAAAGGAGAGGACTATCATGTGAAGGTTTCATGTTTTTCCACTCTTCTCTCTCCCTCTCACAATCTCATCTTTTTGTGAAGAGAAAACATGTTGTGAATTCATGAGATTGAGAAGTCTAAAGAAGCTAAGAAATACAACACCTCTTTATCAACCTTGTAGCAAGGGGAGACGAAGAGAAAAGATTGAGGGTGAGGGGTCATTCCATTCTTGCATAGCATCTGTGGTTCTCGTAGAAAGTGACAGGCCGGTTGATGTGCACTGTATGGCACAAAGGTCTCGCACAGAGCTCACACATTTGTTATCCACAAACAACTGAAAATTCACCCAATAAACGTGCAGCGATGAATAAACTTTGCTTGGGATGCTCGTCATTTTAGGCATTGTAAAAGGCCACTAGCTTGTAGCAGTGAAGCAATGCCTGAAAAGTAACTGAAAGGTCTCATCTCTCCAGTGTGTATTCATTGCTCCTAATACGTTTATGCAGTACCTCCAGCTAATTGTTCTAAATGAGCTGCAGAATGATGATGCATTTGAAATGGTGATTTCTCTTGGTCATCCTGATTTATTTGCACAAACTTTTTCGATTAAGTGAATACTCTTTGGGATCCCCAAGGGTTAATTATACAGTTTTCCAGTTAACTCTACCAAACTACATCAGAAAAATAACATCTTTCTTTCAATACATTAGCCCTTGTGATCAATGAAAGTTTCATGGTGATCCTGAGACAGCTCAGTTTGGGTCAAAATGTATTATTTTCTTTAATTTATTAATTTTTACCATTGAATCCCTTCACTGCTCCTATTCATTCAAAACTATACAGAATCATTTTTCCTGTTCTGCTCCATAAAACCCCATTAAATCAGGATCAATCTGAAAAACCATCTACATAAATATTAACTTTCAAACATTCTACAAATACAGCTGCTGTAAATATTGCCTCACATGCCAGTGATAACAAAAGTGAGGACTGATTTATTGGGATATTTAATCTCATCTTTTTGTTTGGGATAATAATGATGGGATGTAACATTCTTAGATTTGTGAATTTTGGAGTTCTGGAGTTGGAAAAACAAGATAATGAGATGCTCCAAAAGGCATCTGTCTGTCAAAGGGGGGATTAATACCTGCCCATGTTTAAGAGCATGTGCACTGACAAATGGAAATAAAATGAGACTGTTTCACGAAAACATATTTAAAATTACATGGGAACTAGTCTCCAAAGTGAATCAAGAATCCACCTTCAATTATGTTAAGTGTTCTGTTGCTTTGTCGAGATGTGCAGTAAACGAGCTCACTATCTCTTTTCCCATCTTCTCACAAAGAAGAGATTTCAGCTGGCGCCTATTCTTGTTTAATGTGCTTTAATTTAATTTAAAACACAGTGCTTAACTCTGGAATGATTTTTACAGAGACTGACCTCTTGCTTCTAGATGATTCCCTTATCAGTGTTTTGTACAAAGCACTTGCACTCATTGCTCTATGATATCGTTTGAGGAAGGTCAAATGCGTCAGAACTCATTTGGACGGAAGTCTTTTGTTTGGGAAGCTTCTAGCCACTGTGCCAGTTTTGTTTTAAATTATTTAAACAGGTTGGGAGTTTAGTACCACAGTGGTACTTATTGTGACACATCATAGCAGCATATCAAACATTTAACTGCAAATCAATTCCAAAACGTCTCCATGAACAAATTATGAGTATCTTTAGCAGAGGAAGTGTAGTTTTTTGTACTGTAAATTAATACTTCATACTACCCTGTTTTCATGATACTCGTACAACGTGGGTATTCGTTCTTGATATCTTGGATTTTGGAAACTGTGGGTATAAACTGGCCCAGTGCATTTAAAGGTAAGGTGAGAATGATTTGCAACCCATAAGCATTAAACATTAACATTACATTAAGGTTTTTTATCAATTTCCCATTCTCCTTGTTTAACATTAGTCTTCCTTGAGAAAAGTAAGCCCTGCAAAGTTTCCCATGAGTAAAAGCAAGCCTTAGGGATTATCTCATCACTACTACTACAGTATGCAGGCTGAAAACTATGTGCAGCAAATTCTAAGTGTTTCCACGATAATTACCACATCGGTGTCAGTACTTTCCACTTCGACAGATAATTCTCATTTGTTTGAGTGTTACAGGCTACCACGCAATACAGACGTCTGTGCAGAGAGAAGAAAAATAACTTTGTATGAGAAGCTCAGTAACATTAAGTCTAGAGTCGGAGTCTCAAGTCAATTTACGTATGGGTATTTTTTATCATCAGTACTTTTGTTGTAAATGTACTATATCTCGTTTTATATTATATAATTTAGAAGCAAACATGCTAGGAATTGTTTTGCATAAGTGACAGAAATGCCGGTACCAGGACCTCCACTTCTATTTCTGCATAAGTATGCTTGACAAAAACATGGAAAGGCACCTGCCTAAGGAAACATACTTTACACATCCGCAGTAATTCCACAGCTTTTTGTGGACGTGCTAATGATGAAGTGGTTGTTTGTGTGTTTATATAAAACAGTACATGTGGGTTATATGTATTTATGCTTGTAAAATGGGTGAAACATGGATAATTGCTTACAAAAACAGTTGGGGAAAAAAAACACCATCCATTGTTTATAACTTCTTTATATCCACCTCCTAATCGTCTAACCTTAGACTGTCTTTTGCTCTTTCTGCCATGCATCAGTTGCAAATATGTTTCCTGTGCTTAGCATCCGTGTACCTGCAAGATATGATGATAAGTGAGCAGAAGAATAGCCATTTTGTAGCGGTTTGTTTTGACAGACTTTGCACATCCACCTGAGGCATCACTACGTGAAATCTAAACAAGCATATCTGGTACTGGCAAGTTTGTCTCGCTGGCTTCCCCTTACTCTCACCTTGTTTTTCTTTTACCTGTCATGTTTTTAGATTAAGAGGAGGAAAAAAATAAACAGCAGCGTTAAGGACTCAAGCCAGAGACTCCAATCCCAAGGTCTGGTAACAGTGCAGAGCCAGCGAAATACCATCACGTCTTCCATGGACCTAGATGGAGAGATTACAGGGGACCGGTATGTGGAACAGAATCCTCTATTATACTCTTTCAGTTTGGACATTGTAACTGTTGCACTCAGTGGAGAATAGGTTGGTGATGTCTAATGTTTTCACTGATCAACACGAAAGCTCCAATGAGTGATGCATTTCACATAATTTGAAATTCTGTAATTGCTTTTAATTGAAGGATACCCAAATCACTTATGTTGCAGAAGCCTATGTGTCTGGCTTAAAGCAACCTGCTCTTTGGTGTAATAAACTGGCCAAAGTTGCAATAGTTTGCTGAGAAAATGGTGTAATCAAAAATAAGATGCATAACCTTATTTGGTTGTACTGTTTGATATAATCACAGATTTCCTTTCAAAACTAGAGCATATTAATGTTAAATACTTGGTTCTGGGCTTGATCGCCATTAACAAGACTAAGATCTCTGAAATTCTCAATTCAGTTCATTCTCTGTGAATCCTAAAGATAAATATGGAGTTCTGCATTCTTGAATCAAAGCCAGTCTTTGTGTAAATATCATGAGGGTCTATAGCAACCAATTAAATGTCTCTTTAAGCAAAATTATGTATGAATTAAAATGAATATTTAAGGGACAGGGGAGGTGAAAAAGTCCTAGTTTTAGCATCTCAAATAAGAATAATTAGAATCAGGTGTTTAAATAATTAGGTAGATCTGTGTGGAAAAAAGACCTGCCAAGATCTAATGAGCTTGGTGAGGAACTCAGAAAAGAGTGATTGATGCTCATCAGTCCAGAAAGAGTTACAAAAACGTTTCTAAGGATTTGGGGCTCCATCAATCCATGTCACACAGTCTAAAAATTGAGAAACTTCAGGATCATAGTCACCACTCAGAAGCAAAACAACTGCCAGAATATCTCCAAGAACAAACTGGAGAATCTATCAAGGAAGTTACAAAGAACCCTAGAATATTATCCCAAGAACTGTGGGCTAATGTGACTGTTCATGACTCAGCTATCAGAAAATATATAAAAAAGAATAATATTCAGGGAAGGATAGCAAGGAGAAAACCGTCTAAATAGAATGTTACTCCCCATCTGAAGTTCCCCAAAGAGCACAAAGATGGTTATCAAGGGGTTTGAAGCAATGTGCTCTGGACAGACGAGTCAAATGGAAGAACCCCATCCTCAGCATCAAGGTTGGTGGGGTTGGGGGTTTTGTGGTTTGGCATTGCTTTGCACCCTCAGGATCTGGACAGCTTGCAGTCATTGTCAGGCCATCCATCTGTAACCAGAAGCTGAACAGAAAGAGGGTCATCCACTTAACATTATTTATCAGAAGTCATTAAATTAAGATCTGCCAACATTTTAGGTTTCAAATATGTAAAAATCCTAAAGGGTTCAAAAACCTTTTCTCGGTTTTGGTAGTTTCACAATTAAAATTCTTCTTAATGTAAATAAAATTGATGGCCCAATGTCCCTAGTGTTTTTTTTTTTCTCACACAGTTTTTATTACCTGATATTTCCACTTGTCTTCTTTAGATTTAATGATTGTGAGAGCACCTAACTGCTTCAAGCCATTACAGATTTAATTAAAATATTAAAGTCTTAACTTAAAAACACCTGGCACAGAAAATATGATGTCATTAAATTTATACATGTATTGTGTTGAGGTTGTTTAACCTAGCTCATATAAACTTTGCAGTGCAAGTTTCTCTAAATTTCTCCTTCGTTCTGGGTGAACATCTTTTTGATCATTAAGATATTGTCTAGGGAAAATGTTATTAGGTTTAATAATGTGTTCAGTTTGGCTTTAGTTAGCCAGGATATCCTGATGGAACCTGTTGGGATCGTTAAAGCCTGCCTTGTCATTAGTGAGAGAGGTGCTGTTGAACTATTCAATGCTAATTCTAAGGGTAGTGTGAACCTGACCCTGTAAATCAGCATATCATATGACAACCAGCCTTGACAGGTAAGCATGTAACTGGAGTACATCTACACATCTTCCATCTCCCTGTGCAACACGGGTTAATAGCAGTATGTTGAGTCAATTAATACTTGATGATGCCAAGCTGTGAGAAATGACATTTTCAATGTTGAGAAACATTAACGTTCCTTAGAATATCGCAAGGTTTGTTGGCTTTTACTGTAACAGCAGAATACCTCTTAAATAGAGTCCCATTATTGAGGGTTGAGTAATCAAGCAACTCAAAAAGTATGCAAGATTGACAGACTGTAACCCTGATGCAGAATGTATTGAGCTGTCGCAGACTTTGGGAAAAGCATAATAACTTTTGTAATTGCTCAATTTTGCTTGAGGCCCTTTATGTTGACTTTTATGAAATATGACAGATTAAATTGCAGAACCACCCTTTTTTCATCTGTAACCGATACCCTTTAAACTTTTAAGATAATTGGTAATGTAATTTTTTATGTAATATTAGATTATAGAAGTAGAATCTTTTTTCTAATTTTGGTTTCTTAATTGCATTTCTAAAAAGCTGCTATACTGTTCAGTGCACTTTAAACATTAATACCAGATCTCAGGTGATACTGTTGGGTTTTTAAAGAGTTTTGGAAAGAATCCATTTTAGGGTGGAAGTAACAGTGTAAACAAAAGAAACTATTTTTCCCCCATAGTGTAATGTGTTGAGTCAAGACTGAATGCCATTGGTTAATATGGCTACACATGACTTAATATTTCAGTAACTTATTTATTCTTACCAATATGAATACGTTCAGAATTTAAATACAATACACCAAATGAGTTTGTAAATTAGCCTATATCTTGGAAATATCTACCTTATTTGAAAATAAGTTCAAAAGTCAATCATTTCCAGTTGAATGAGAAGCGTGCAAGTGGTCCTACTGTGTGGCTCAACCAGTAAAAATGCTTTCTATGAGCTCTGTGATTCGTCCTGTGAGAATATAAGACAGAGTCATGTCAATAGCTGTCTAAGATCAAGATTCTCCTAGCAATGAAGATCAATTGGCTCAGAGCTGTTAGAGGCAGGGATGGGATTAATCAGCCAGAACTCCCAGTGAAACAGCGACCCCTGTGACCCCTTCCCAGGCTCCTGTGGGCTTATAGTGATGTCAGTGAGCCTCTCTTCCACAAAGCACTGAGCTCCGCGTATGTCATTGGAGACTTTGCACCTTGTCAAAAAGACATATGACTTCAATGGGTGGGCAGGTTACTTCATTCTTCTTCTGTGGATATGCAAGTCCTACATGTAGACTGAAAGGTAAAGACACCCTTAAGATTGGATGGATGTAAAATAAGTATTAGTGAAACCTAAAAGGTAAAGATCACATGGGATTTAATGTGATGTAGAGGTGCAGGTTGAAAACTATTCTGTAGCCATAGATACCAGGGCACCTGTAGCTTTGTGGAGATATTTGTCATTGCATACCCAGTGCTTTTGCTTGGGCACAAGAATTGTCCCTCCAATCACTGAAAAGCAAACACTTTTTCCATGTACAGCACTGCATTTCTGGAATGCCAACTTTGAAAGGTGTAAATCCCTTTGGTTTTAGTTTCAGAACAAAAGTTTATTTCACAAATAATTAAAATGAGTGCTTGTAATACGTGAATAGAGAAATCACCATTGCTCCAAGCAACTATTCTGAAATACTCTTGGAGCTTTGGGCTTGATCTCTGAGAACCACCAGTGGGCAGAGCAGGCAGGACAGTTTGTTTTTGATTGACAAGACCACAATACGTTAGCACATGTAAAACATGGTTTATTAAGATCAGTGTCAAGTATCATTTGACACTCGAGGGTAAAGGATCTTCCCTGGAGCTTTTTGTAGGTTTTTAATCAGAATTTGCAGTTACATTTATCTCTGTAGTGAGTAAAATGAAATAATTTTGTAGTTAGCCTCAACATTTTTTTCAAGACTTTACACTGGATATAAATATTTTAATTAAATTAATTGGCAAGATTTCATGCACCAGGTTTCTTTTGTGTTTTGCACTTAGAAATGTACAGGATAATATTTAAATTATTAATTTTAGCAATCAATATATGAATTTAGGTATGTGACTTTAAAAGATAATTGAAATAAAATTTTCGAAAAAATGAGCCAGACAGAACCATTGGTTCCATGAAGTGTAAAAAAGGATCACTGTGAAGGTCGGCATTTGATTATAATTGTCCAGACAGACTTTCCTAGAGTTCACAAATCATGGTGGATCTGATTTTTGCCTGCAAAGATGCCTGAAATGTGTTACTAATGCATTATAACCATGCTATAATAAAATTAATAAAACTTTTAACATGATCTCTGTAATTAAATATACTTTTTAAATAAACATTTATTCTTTGTTTATTATATAATAGATAAATGTAATTTTAATCAAGATGTAGTGAAGAGATTAAAGGATAATTCTATTTTACAGCCATACAGTATTTGCTGGGAGAGCTTGGTGAAGATACACTCCTGTACCTTACAGAAAAAGTCATTTAAAAATATACCACAGATGTCTTTAGAATTAAGCACTCATTTGTGCAGATGTGTTTTCTTTGTGTAGAACTGGCTTAAATAAAATTTCTTAGATCTGCTGAGCACTATAATTTTGGTAAATAACTACAGGCTAATCTGTCCTGAATATTCTTGGTGATTTACAATTTGTACATAACATGATAATTTTTTTTATTTGAGTGCTTTTATTGTCTGCTAATTTAGATGACTAAGCTCTCCTGGATCATAAAATTCCTAGCAGATAAGTCTAGTCTTTAAGAAGAAAAATATCTTATCACAAAACCCACTAACAGTGTTAATAGATTCTTTTGTTCCATATCATCACACATAAAATCATGATGTGAAAAGCTGAAAATGCAGTGATAAACCTTGGTATCTTCATACACACTTAAGTTTCACTCCAAAATTGAGAAATTGAAGATCTTTTAGATCAAAGCTTTTATCTTTGACAGGGTTTAAGTCATTCTGTGAAGCTGTTTAAATAAGCAAGCAGCTAATCCATTTTCTCTGGGAACCCTTAGGTCACTGAGTTTCAGAAGTTTATCTTTTTGAACCTGGTTAGCTAAATTTATTGTTTGCTATAAACATCCCCTTGTCTAAAAGAAACTACAAGCCTAGATGAAAGCAACAATAAAATCATGCATTTCATTGAACAGTTCGGTCTACATTGGTTTTATGGGTGGCATCGGAACAACATTAATGTCTCGCACTGTAGCTGCCTGCTATTGTTTTGCTGTGACACACGAAATGTTTCCCTGTAACACAGAAGGGTGAAAGCAGATGTGCCCTTTAGCTCCAGATAGACATCAAAGGCGAGAGTATTTGATGTCATCTGTTGAGCTGGAACAAGCACTCGCAGGTTGTCTCCAGCTTTTATGAGTAATGGTTTACACTTTCAACAATTGATCCCAGACTAATGTGGCCCTAGTGGAGAGCTGTAGTGTAAAGTTACTTCATGCCATTTCAGTGGTGATAACTGATTTCTCATTTTCAGGTTTTGACATCTGGTAGTTGAATGTTTTGTTGTAACAGAAACCACATGCATATTTTGTGTTTATTCATGCAATTTTATGCGTTTTAAAATTAAGTACTTGTAGATTTATTTTTTTTGCTTTGTGAGATTCATAAGTATGAACTTCAAGAATGGGCACTGGCGAAACTCTTCTTCCTGTTGGCAAGCAGCTGCATTCATGTAACAAAAACATGTCACACAGCTTTGAACAGAGACAAAATACTTTACAGTAGACCATACTAAAACAGGTTACATACCTGTCATTCCTACCATTTGCCATATTAGTGTAAAGTGGCCTAAATTGCTTGAATGAGGGCCAGGTCAGTTAGGGTCACAGACTGGATTATTCTGATTAGACAGAAGAGATTAGGCAAGTGAGGATTTAGCTCTTATTTCAGAAAACGGATAAATCCTTGTTGGCTTTTCAGTACAATGGCCGTCATCCAAATATTAAACTTGAATGATCAGTAAAAGGGCTCTAACTCTTACAAACACAATACCTCTTTATAGCATTACATAGTGATTCTTGAATATATTGTATTAGTACAAATTATATGAAGTTAATTCCGTCTTTAAAACATTGGTATTGTTTACTGTTGAAATTATATCTATCTAGTGCTGAAGGTTTAGTTTTTTTTTTTAAAGTTCTGCAGGAACAAATGGACAGTGTTCAAATAACTTTTAGTAACATTGTGATGTTTTTCTAAGGTTTGCTACCAGATGCACACAAATTGTTGTGAAGTTCAGTTTCGGTATTAAACAAACCATAATCAAAATGGATGCAATCCAAAAATTCACATTGTGCAGGTGACTAACAGCCACGGTCTTCCGTTTTCAACACTGCAGGGTAGAAATGCCATACTGTATGTTAGTATTAAATGCTTTTGATTCTGCTCAGGTAGATAAACTTTGGAACAGTCATTTTTAATTTCATAGCTGAATTGCCCTCTCTCTCCTGGAGTGTGGTGAGTATTTGTTACTCTGAGTGTCAGCACCAGGCCCTCAGACACCAGCATTTTGATTGATTGATTGTCTACAGATAAGGGTGTTATTGCTGCTGGAGGTATCAGGTCTCACCAGTAACCAGTAAATCATCTGAAGGAAGTGTCAAATTCATTGTAAACCAAGGGCTCAATAGAAGGCATGCTGCTTTACTAGAATAAGCAATAAGCAACCAAGATGTAGAGGTGATATGTATTTGATCATACTGGGAATCCTACTCTGGAAGCTTCATGGAATTACAGTATAGTATCTTGTTCAGATGATTATGCCTTAAACTAAAATGAGCTGCATAGGTCTGGAAGTGAAACTGAGAGAAAACAATCCCCCCCCCCCCATGGGTGTTTCTTTTAATCTGACTGGGTCCTGCAAGTGTACGATGGTTTTTTGCTGCTGTATATTGCTGCTTAAAATGTGATGATGCCATTTTCTGACTCACGCATTCAGTTTTCCATCTTAACTAAAATAACATCCGTGAAACCACCACTTTGAGAAAAAAATATGGAGTCTACATATCAACAATATTTCTGTGGTGTGTTTTTGATGTTATTATTAAGCTGTTAGACCAAAAATGAGGTGGTGGTGTGGACTCGAGTATGAGTCCACATAGAGAGAGTACTTATGGGAGCTACAGGGTACATTGCTATTTAGGTTTGACTGTGCTCAACTGGCGCTTACTAATACACCAGAATTTCACAAGATGCAAACTGTATATTTGATAACTTCAGTGATTACAATCAGTATCAAGGGTGTGAGTCTGGCCCACCAAGCTCATTTGTTCAACCCATGTTGCTGTTGCTGTGAGCCAGAGATTCAGTTTGCATTCTGCCTGAGCCTGCATAGCCCTTATACGAATTCCAGTATGTGCCTTGCATACACAGTGCTCCATGTGGCTCTTTTCCTCTCTCCAATCCCAGTGTCCCAGTTTTATCTGGAATCTCAGATATAGATTGACAGGACTGCTCTTTGGACAAAAATTTGGGGAAGAAAACTGACACTTAGACGTGTGCTGGGACCTCCTTGAAAGTTAGGAGCACGTTCAGCAAGTGAAACATTGGTCTCACTGAAACTGTATTTAGTTTTTTTTTTCCTCAAAAAAGGATATTTTTGAACATTGCAATAAGGGGCTTAAGAAAAAAAAGAATGTTATGTGGATCAAGAGAAGTGGAGAAATTTGTATTGTGTGTAGGAGATGACTGTAAATCTGACATGCTTGATTGGTACAACAGGCAACTACTTTCCAAAGAGCAATAGCAATAGTTGTAGAACTGATTTAATTTTTGGCAGTCTCTTTTAACCTTGCCTTTTTCCCCATTCATCCTGTTTAAAAGACACAAACCATGGCAGTTATGTAACAATGCAAACTGCTTCTCACGTATTGCAGTAATTGTGTAAGTATTATCAGTCGCACAGGCAGAGCGTAGATGTGATGTTTATTATTTATCCCAATCCTGCAGTTTACCAAATGATACATGTATATTACACTATCCTTTGGCTTACAAAGGTAATGCATTTCCCAAGATTGTGAAATTTTGTATAATGAAATAAAACTCCCATTACTTCACATGTAGAAGCTTACAACTTGTTCCCGAGATCTAGAGCATTCTCCAATATACTCGGTTAAGTCAAGACAAGAACACATTTATAATTACCAGTCATTTAGATTAGTACAGTAGTTGACATAAACCACGTCAGACTTGTAAACTTGAACAACAGCACAATGCAGATGAATATCACAGCATTGCTTTGAACTTAATTGCTCTCCTTTTTCAATATTGTCACCTCACATTTTACATCCAAAGGAATTGTTTTCCTTATTGTTTATTTTTACAATTTAAGCACTTGCAACATGTTTTGTCAACATGAAGTTTGAATGAGCAGGATGTTCGCCCATAAATATTGCCGAGTAAGCAATATCAGAACAGCAAAAACCAAACACTATAAATATGTAATTGTTGTGCCTAGTATTTTGATCATTTATGGTATGTATTGCTTGCTTGAAGTGCATTTAAATTAATTCTGGTCCACCTCAAAATGACTTTAAAACCATTGATCTATAGGAAGAGGAGGCTAAAACGTTTTTGCCTTCATGTCATAATCCTCAGCTTTACAGCATGTCCTGTTTGGACATTGAAAGTTTGACCAATTTATGAGATGGATTTTGGATCAATCGCATGTGCTTGAAATGCTGCAGTTTCCTTGAAGACTTGTAGACCACCCAGGCTCCATCCTTATACTTCAGCTTGAGCATTGACCCTTTCCCACCCCACAGTGTACAGTACAGTAGATCGCTTTGTCACTTTCTATTAGACATTTCTCAGAGCACTTTGGTGTGAATTGTCGACAGCCAGGTTTTACACAGTGTGTGCTTCAGGTTTTGTTTGAAGCACTTCCAGAGATGTTTCTCAACAGACGTTTTGCATTAGTGTTGAATGTATACGATCAGTTTCCACTGAAGAAAGAAACCAAATATCATCTTTTAAAAACTCTGGAGTTCCCTTTGTTGTTGTGCTTTGTTTGTAGTACAGTTTTAAATTATTCTTTAAATTAAAATTTGCATGGCAAATGGTCAGGATCGGAACTTCTTCAGTTACAGTACCCCACCTGTCCCGTTTGTTCTATCACAGATCAGGTTGGAGATGTTTTGTAAACAAGGCACCTGAATCTTCCAGGGAGGGGATGGAGGTGCGATGGGAGAAAACTCTTCCATGTTACAGGTTGCGTTTCTGCCCAGGAGCGCTCAAATAAATTCTTATGGCTGACGTTTATGAGATCATGATAACGATGTGACATGCCTCATAGGCAACAACAGACTGTTATTAATGTGCACATTTACTGCAGCTTAATCGGGATGATAAAAATCAGAACAGTTGTTGTTTTTTTGTAGGTTGTACCTCATAGTGACTTCTGTGTTATCATATGGGCTCCATTTATTTATTTTTTTGGTGCGATTCTGTAGCACTCCAGACTCCTCCTTGAGAAGGAAGAGCTCAGGGCCAGCTAACAGACCTCTGGGGTGGAGGACACAGACCCAGAGGGTTTGGAAGAAGTCTCCGAAACCTCAGCTGAACAAGGCACCTCTTTCTCCATTGCTGGTTCATCAGGCCCCGAAGGGGAGTTCCCGCATTTCTGCACCTGAGTATGACTCACTGTTGGAAGCTACAGATACTCACAGCAGGTAAATATTAGCTAAACAGACTGAAGAATAAAAGTACAGTAAATGATTTATATCTTTCAGCAGACTGATGAAGTCAGGGCACAAAGCCAAAGAATTCTGTTCTGAAATGGTTAAATCCAAAGGCTTCAAAGAAATTGATTAGAAGTGATATGTAAAAGGTAAAATTTCACTGGAATTGATTATTGTGTTTGATAAATGGGGGGAGATTTGAGTTTTAATCACTTATTTCAGCCTTTCAGGTAGACAACTTGTTGAAATATTTGTGATTGATTTTTTTTAAATGTAGGGGGTTTTATCTCATGATTCACCCAATCTGTTAAAGACTGAGCCTAAACTAGCTCCAGATAGGGTGAATCTAGGCAATACAAATAATTGTATATAGCCAATTAATTGATTTTAGAAACATTGAATTTTGAAACTTTTCTCCAGCATACCGCTTGCACATAATAATTTTTTCTAGTTTAATTCTGAAATTTTAAAAGATATACTGTACGGATAAATCAACAAAACATAGTTAAGGATTAAAAACACTATCAGATTTCCTAATACATGTTATGTATATCTTCTCTCTTAAATGAGTTAAAACTGTGAATGGACGAATTCTTTGGAGCTGGCAAAGCTAGCCAATTTTGTGTCAGAGAAACAAGGCCACATTTTTCCCAAGAGCACTTTAGTGGAAATGTGTACCAAAAAGGTTGGCAGTAATTAGAACAAAGTGTCATTTAATCAAAACTAGAGGTCAAAACTGCCTTCCTCTCATTTGATGAGCAACAGGGTTCAGCCTAAACTTCCATTTCTCACTTACTTTTTCAAATAAAGGCTTTTCTGTCATCCAGAAGATATTTTTCTTATTACGGTAGCTAGGTAGAGGCTTCCCAAAATAAGTGTGCCATATCCTTCTGTGCATGCTATTCTTGATCGAGTATACTGTAGAACAGGCATGTTTCAAGGGTCAGGTAGCAGAGCCAGCTTCTCTGTTCTGATAAAGGCAGAGTCATTGTCTTTTCATGTTGCACCCAGGATTACCATCTGGTCCTGCTCACATAATTAGATTTAATGAGTTTGGAGAGCTCAGTCTAGGCCCAGTGGATGTTTTTCCACAGAGAACAGACTCTGCAGGGTTTTTTTTTTTGCATTTCGAGCCTAATGAGGAGGGTCTATTTGTTTATATGGACAGAAGTGAATGACTGGTCTGGTTAGGAGTTTGTCACATGGATATAACTGCAAGTGAAAGTTTGTAAGGGCAGATTGCTTAAAGATGTTGTCTGGTAACAATTTGTGAGGATAACAGCTGTTCAGATAGGGGTTGTGGAAATAATAGTAACCAGACTTCGTTTTCTACAGCTTCTTAAGGATATGGTTGAGTGCAGTGTCCCAGACGTGGGGAATAATAGGAAAAAGCTGGTGTTTTGCAGGAGATGGTATCTGAAAATTGCAAGCCACTATGGGTTAATGACCCCAGTATACATCACTGAGGGAAGAAGATAAAAACAGCAGCTTTTTCTGCCACCTTCAGACTCATAGGTGTCAACTGTTTCTGTAAGAAGCTGACATTACTGTCCTTTACATAACAGTCTTTAATTCATTTGATGCATTACTCCCAGTATCCAAGTGGTCAGTGACTATTTAAAGTAAAATTTCTTAGTTTTCCCCTCTTAATTACCTGCAGGACTGTGAGGAGGGGGATCCTATGCGATGCAAATATGTATTCAACACACCTTTCAACACTACACAAGCTTTAAAATAAATTCCAAAAGTCTTGAATGCTAAATAATGAATAAAATTGCATTTGAATGCATTTTGAGGTTTTTTACATTTCTTCAATAATTTTTAAATTTTAAGAATAAGGGAAGAATGTAACATTTGCATTAAATCGCACAACAACTGTAATTAATTTATATTTCATTAATAACTCCTTAGTCTGTTTCAGTGCCCTGTGCCTAGGAAAAAAAACTTGCAATATTTTTCAGCATCTGGATCATTTCTCAGCTTATCCTCTTCAGCAAAGGTTTTTTCCATAACCTTTTGTTTTTGTAACGTAGTGCAACAGAAATGGTTTCCAGAAGAGCATAAAAATAGTAGAAATCTGCACCATTACAGAATAGTTCCCTGGAAAGTCCTTCATAATCTGCTGCCTGGACGGAAATGTGTAGGTGTTTAATTGACAGGCAAAGCCCGGGAGAAATAGAAAAAAACATTCTATCTATATTCAGATCTCAGCACCTCATGAGAATCTATTTTTCCTACCTTAAAAAATATCACCTCTTACCTTTTGGTTTCCTTCCTGTGCACTACGTTAATCGCACCCTTTTCCAGTAGCAGGAGATTGTTTCTGAGAATGGAACAGATTAATCACTCCAGCTATAAAAACAAATTTGAGACACCTGGTCACTTTGAGAGATCATAATTAACCTTTTACTCCTGTGTTTTTCATTCATCTAACTTGCTTATGTAGGATTATAATAGGTTACTGCAGTGTATTTCCATATGGAGTTTCCTGTGTTTGATGTTTGCATTTGATCTGCATATTTTTAATTTAACTTTATCTGTGCTTTTTTGTGCTATGCACTATTATTCCTAAAGATGTTATAGGATTTTATATGTACACAGTTCAATCAAATACAAGCAGAAAAGGACTTTAAAGTATGGGTGTTCACTTCTGATTCTGGAGAGAATCTTTCATTCCTGATCAGTTCTTCATGAGTGAAATCATCAGCTTAATTGGACCAATTTAACAACTTATACCAGCTCTTCACAGCACCAGCAGTGGAAGACACATCCAGGGCCATGATTGGACACCTCTGAATTCAAGAATCATCCCACCACTAATTTATTATATAGTTAACCTGAATTTTAAAAACAAGAACAAAATGTTTTCTGTTAGCAGGAATACATGTTACTTTTTCCTCAAATATGAATTTAGCAGAGTTGATTAAATCTTTGAGCATGCTAAATGTTACCATGCCATCATCAAATTTGTATATAGATACTGTTAACTTATTTCTTCTAATAGCTTTACAAAAAGCATCCTTTTTTCAGTGCCTTTTCTTAGTCTAGACAAATTGGCACAAGCCAGAGGCAAGCCTTATAATTTCCTGATTTTGTTTTAAATGATCAGATGATTAAAGTAATTAAATTAGCTCAGAACTAAACTGCTTAGAAGATTTTGGTTCTCAAAAGCAGATCTGCTTGGGATAACAATTGAGTTAATTGGTACTATGTATGCCAGTGCTCATGTCTGAGATGAGCTAAAATGAAACGTGTGTGAATGCAAAAAGTGCCAATTAATATGTGGTAATTAAGGAAACTGCACATGACAAACGTTAAGAGTTTAATAACTGTGATAGATCTTTTCCTCAGTAGGACATTATTTAAACTTGATTTCCTTCATCATTTGAATAAAAGTCAAATTGCAGTCTAGTCATTATCTTAGTGATCCTGCAAATGTGTGCTTTTGTGGAACAGTAAAAAGGTAATTTTATCTCAAACATATGTGAGGAATATGTAACATTTAGAGTGTGACCTTAAAACAAATGTTCCAGGTTTTTTTTTCTCCTTGGAAGAACAAGGTGCAGCACTTTGTGTTTAACTAATCACTGCTTGTGAAAACAGTGGTGTTTTTTAGTGCTCAAAGCTGACTGTTTGCTTTCCATCAGCAATCTGCCACTGAGTTTGACATTTCCCTAATGCTCCTGGACAGGGTTCATAAAATTAAAGGACCATCTTTGCCTTGTTTCCTATCCATTTTTTTTAAATAATTTTGAAAAAATAATTGTAGACCAAGTGCACAAAAAAGATTCCCATCTTTTTGGTTCATACTTTTAGTTGCATAAATGTAACCAAGGTCATGTCTACAATTATGCTGTCAACATACCTTAGAGACTGCAACAGTCATGCGAGATAAGTACTGTATCGTGACTAAAACAACTTAGCATTTGTCTGACATCTTTCAAATATAAGAGGACATTTTCTTCCTTGCTCAACTTACGTTATCATCAGACAAACAAATTCAAATTATTTGCATTTTTGAAAATTTGAGAAGTTTTGTTCCACTACTTGTCGTTGTGGTCAGATGCTGCATTTATTTTTTCACTTATTACTTCCCACTGTAAGTCAGCTAATACTCATCGTAAATCTCTTCCACGTGTGAAATGATTCTCAGTCTCTGATATTAGAAAATACTTTGGAGGTTCAGTTATCGTTTTTTCCCTCCAGCAGAAGAGGAAATTCCAAAATGTTGTCGTTGCACATTTTAAAAAACTAAAATATCCACAAAAATTGCTCTTTCTGAGGGGGGTAAAGTGCAGGTATTGCAATTTAAGGATTTTTGTTTGAAGTTAACTTCAAGTAGAGCCAAGGGAAATTAAGCCTGTAAACCTCTTTAACAAAATGCTCCCTATACAGTATTTATGTTACTGCACACAACACTGGTTTTGGCACTTGCCATGGAATTCAGCTAATGAGAGTGTTTAGTACCAGAGGTTTGTGTTTAAGGTAGAACACAGAATCTTTGAGGATACCTCCAATGTTTTGTCAAAAAATTGCAGACTATATTTTGATCATCAGAAATTTAAAAAGTGCACTAAAAATACTAGACGTTTGTGTTAAAAAATGAAAGACTTTTTGAATTAATTTTAAATTGTACTGTGTAACAGATACTATGGTACTGGTATTTGTATTCTAACCAGTGATTAGGACATAAGTAACTGAAAACATGTCCAAGCAGCTTTCTCCAACTTGCACTGCAGTCAGTGTTGCTGAACTAAGAATCTGATTCTTTAAGATACTGTGATGAAACTGAAAGCTTAGAGCTTTCCAACTCAGGGCTGCAGGAGGACAATAGCCCATACAGGGCTGGCAGGGCTCATCTGACCTATCCCTCTTTGCAGTAGCAGACACCCGCTGAAGAAACAGTGTCACCAGGTCCCTGCCCTTTTGAGTGTGCTCCCATTGTCTGCCCATTACATGTGTGTTAAGTGGACAAAGGCTAGCAGAGAAGA